GGTGTGGGGGGGAGGGGAGGGGGGGTGATGACAGAAACTAATTCACAAGCACAAGTGGTGGGAGTGAAAGGGTGTTTTGCATGAGCACAGCTCCTTTAACCACAGACACTTTGCTTCCTGGAGCCACAGATGCCTGCTATGTTGTGCTGCCTGTCAGCCAGGAGATCTTGATCATCTTTTTCCTGCCTTCTAGGAAGATTTTGTGGTGACAAGATCCCTGAACCAGTAATCTCCACGGACAGCAGGCTGTGGATTGAGTTCCGGAGCAGCAGTAACATCCTGGGCAAAGGCTTCTTTGTGGTCTATGAAGGTACAGCCCTTAGCTAGAGAAGTCAGTCATGTTACTCAGAGCAGCCAGAACAGGATGGAGGGGTTTATGGGATCAGCTGGAGTTCTTCACCACGTGGTTAGATACAACCCCTACTCTCATGGGTATTGGCAGATTTGCAGGCTGTTTCGGGAGACAAGGCATGGATCTTCCAATTAGATCATCACGTTTTTGGGGGGACAACAGGATGGCGGCACAGAGCAATAGCTCCCATTCATAGGCCAGGCTCTGTTTGCCCTGACCAGCCCCTGCAAGCAGCAGTGCTGGGTGTAGCAGGAGTTCCTTCCAGTAATTTAACGGGCAAAGTTGTGTTTCAAATCATACATTTTATATCACTTTATGCAGCTTACTTTGGGTTTGTGGGGTTTTTTTGCTCAAATGCAAAGATTGTTCTTTAGTTTCTCCCTTGTATGTTTTACTTATGGAAGGTTAGAAACTAGCATGTCAGGTCTTCTGCAGGTCAGGTACTTTGGAAACTTGCATGGCACTGAGATGCTGAAACCACTTCAGAGCAGGAGCAATACTACTAAAGTCACTAGTAGTAAAAAATCAGTAACGTCCATTTTTTCCATATATGCTTATTTTTTACAATAATGATTCTGAAATGTATTAAAAGCCTTCGTTATTCTCTGGGCAACAGACATTTTCTTGGATGTACTAGTGTTGTCAACAGTATTGAGGTTGACTGCATTGGTACTGACATTGCATCATCTTTTTGCAGGCACAGGAGCAAGCATGACACTGGAAGCCCAGTGCCCAATATACTCATGAATAATGGTACTAACAGAGGGAAGCAAAGAAAACATGGGACTGTTAGGGAAGCGCAAATAAAGTATATGAGGATTTCACAACAGTGTGGGCCTAACAAATCAGTTTCACAGGAAAAATATCTGGTTTCTGCAGGAATTGTTACCCCAGAGGCAGAGGTAGTTTGCCTGATTTTTTTTTTTTTTTTTTTTTAACATCTCTCCTGAGAAGCAGATGTTGCCTGAACCATGCAGTTTGTAATACCCCGTTTATGGTTGTCTACGTCTAGCGCGTATCCAGGGCTAAACTGTAACAGTTGCTCTCTCACCCAACAACCCCTCACCAGCCAGGAACGGGAATCAGGAAAAGGAGAGGGGACCCATGGTTTGAAATAAAAACAGATTTAATGAAACAGCACCAGTATGAACAAACATCTACAAAGTTATACCCAGGCAAATGAATGTGCAGCAGTCACAATAAACAGGAGAGCAGTCCTGAGAAGCAGGAGGAATCCCACAGGAGCTCTTTCTTCTCAGCAAACCTTCCCCCTTTACAATGACCATGACATTACGGTGTGGGCTACTCCTGTAGCTAACTCAGGTCAGCTGCCCTGGCTGACTCAAACCTGCTAATGGCCTGCCTAGTATGGCTGGGGGGGGGGGGGGTGCGGTGATGGTGGTTGTTGGAATTAGAAGTGGTCAAACTAGTGTGTCTCTAATAGATTGTTTTATTTTGGCTTATTGCTTTGGTGGGGTGGTCAGCTTAATTCTTACAGAAGGTTATTCCCCAGTGATACGTGCTTCAACTTGAAAAGAAAAACAAGTAAGGTGAGGAGCGTTTTTGGGAAGCAACTTCTCTGTTCTTCATCATGCGTGTTAATATGGTATATTACTAATATGACATATTGCTAAATGATATTGAAAGAAAAACAATTTTTACATTGGCTACATGCTAAAGTCACTTTGCAAAACTTTCTTTTCTCTTGGTAATTTTCCGTATTTCCTGTTGATTAATAAATCGCTCCTAAAGGTTCAGTAAACATGAGCAATACTTGCTTGACTTGCCTTTTGAGGAAAGCAAATGAAAGTGGAATGTGCATCTAGTGGTCACATTTTGCATCCCTCTGTTCATATTTTCTTGCCTCTTCAAGACTGGCTTTTTATGTAACCCTTTCCTGCAAGAAACTTCCCATTGGAAAAGTATGACATCTATGGCTAAGCCTGAGAGCAAGCACAGAGTATGACTGGCGGAAGCCAGCTTGTACGACAGAAACAGTGCATAGTTCTTTTCTTCTCTCAGCCTCCTCTTGACAGAGCAGCAGGTTTCTCTGCATCTCTCTCCATAATTTGTTTTGTTGAAATGGGAGGGTTTAAAAAAATCTTCCTTAATCCCTATTTCCCTCCGATGCAAGCTCTGGTAATGGCTTGTTTCTTTCCTCCATTGTCAGGTAGCTTGCTCAGCCATTTTGTGACTTCTGTGTCTAGGCAGTAAGGGTAATTTTGATTTCCGCAAGGGATTGCCTCACATACTAAAAAGCCAAAGTGGGTTTTAGCACTGCTTCTCTGTCCTCTGCTTTAGTGAGAGTGCATGTAAATGCTCATGCATCTGAACTTTGCTGGCAGGTCTGTGGGTGAGGACTGATTTTTGCATTTGGATTTCTCCAGGTCTTGGCCCTAAAGTTTTCAGTAGATGGGAGGAAAGAGGCACAAATGTGTATCCACATGATGGGAGAATTACTTGATACTAAATGACAGTAAATGTAGTGAAAGTATCCTCATAGTTCAGTCATATTGTTCCTTTTCTTTCGTGAGATTCAAGATGGGAACATACTGGTTGTTTTTGCCTACAGCAGTGCTGGCAGCCCCGAATTTGTCATCATTATTGCCCTCTCAGGCTCTATCAGCAGATATTCTTTTGATTTTGCAGTAAGGCTTTTCCAGTATACTTGGCGCTCAGCTGAACTTTAGTGTGAACTACTGTGGTGGATAGAGAAAATACTGTTTGCTGGCTGATGGTTTTATGGCTGCTAAAAAAATTTCTCTGCTCTTGTAGTCCTCTTTCTCTTAGGTGGAGGAGACGTACCTTTAGTGCTCTAAAATATCCATCAGAGCTTCTCTCTAGCACCGCTTGTAGCTCTGAATATATGAACTCAAACTACAATCTAAATTGTGCCTTGCAACTGAATTTTGAGTGCAACTATTTGGTGGTGCCTTAGCACTGATTCTCTAAGAAAGAAGTTAGCACTGCCCTAGTAAAACAGTGCTTTTAACTAGGCCATAGTCAAACATCAACAGCTTACACAAGGCAAAACTAAGACAATGTTACCCAATGCAAGCAATTTGTAGGACACTATAGTGAGACCCACATCTGAATTGTTAATGCAATATGTTGTCAGGAGACCCTAAGGGTGAAGATGGTTGATGTCTGGCAGGTATCATTGCAGTGTGATGTCTCTTGTACTTAACTGTCCGTGCTTTTTTTTACTTGACTTTAAATACAGCCAAAACATTCATATGCCTTCAGTAGACATGTGTGTCATGCATCATGGGGTAACACAAGTTTTAGCCTGTGATCTTACTTTCATTACTTATCCCCTGTGAGGACAGGCTTAGGGACTTGGGGTTGTTCAGCCTGGAGAAGAGAAGACTCCAGGGAGACCTTATAGCGGCCTTCGAGTACTTAAAGGGGGCCTGCAGGAAAGGTGGGAAGGGACTCGTTATCAGACAGTGTAGTGATAGGATGAGGGTTAACGGTTTCAAGCTGAAAGAGATTAAGAAGAAATTCTTCACTGTGAGGAAGGTGAGGCACTGGAACAGGTTGTCTAGAGAAGTTGTTGATTCTGCCCCCTCCCTGGCAGTGTTCAAGGCCAGGTTGGATGGGGCTTTGAGCAACCTGGTCTAGTGGAAGGTGTCCCTGTCCATGGCAGGAGGGTTGGACTAGGTGATCTTTAAGGTCCCTTCCAACCCAAACCATTCTGTGATTCTATGATTTGTTACATCATCTTGCAGACAATTATGTTGAACTACTATTGTCTTTGAGGTCTCTGCTAGTTTTGTATTAAACTAGTTTTTCATTAAATTTTCTGTTCTTGGTCTTTAAACTTCCTTATTCTTACATTTAGCATAAAACAGCTTTTCATGCGCAGCAGTCAGCCTGTTGGTCTCCTGGTGAACAGCTCAACTCATACTTGTTAATATTGCCATCATGTGGTGGGATTAGATTTGCAACTGTTTTTATTTGGTGTTTTTTTGCCAACTTTTCTTGGTCCTTAGTGATGGCAGCAGATTTTAAGCAGTTATGAAGGTGACCAGGAGTGTAAAACACACAAATCCATAAAAATTCTCTGCCCCAGCGAGTTCACTTCCTAGGGAGTTGGCACAGGAAGACAGGAGACACTGTCACTAAGACAAAATGTTATGTTTGTAAAAACTTCCATGACTTGTGTGTTGCCTTTTTGTAACAAGTGGTATTGATCCGTATCTGAACGAGAAAGAAGGCTAGGTGTGGAGCAGGCTTTACCTAAGGCAAAACCTGCAATCGCATGATTTTGCTGTTTGGTTTTTTTTTATGAAGCTATTTGCGGTGGAGAAATTCACAAAGATGCTGGCCAGATCCAATCTCCCAATTACCCAGATGACTACAGACCTTCCAAAGAGTGTGTTTGGAAAATCACAGTTTCTGAGGGCTTTCACATAGGAATCACATTCCAAGCCTTTGAGGTGAGAAATGTTATATTATATTATGGACATTATTTTGCCTCTGTAGATCCTTTAAAATTAGAGAGGAAAGAGATGTAAATAAGTTTTTTTTAAAAAAATTTGAATACCTCAGAACATAATTTCTCCTCACCAGAAGTTTGTTCAGAGGTTTTGAAGCCAAGTTTTAAATGTGATGAGTTTTCAAAAACTGCTACTCTAGACAGAAAGAATTAGAAGGGGCACAAAATTGTTAATGATGTTAAGTAGGGACTCACAAGTCCTTGAATTTTCACTCTGGTCAAATAAAATTGAATGGTCACAGTCCAGGCAAAAAACTCTTGTTGGTGTGACTGGGGCTTGGCAGATTGCAGGATGTTTGTGACTCTCCAAATGAATTTTATGTTCCCAGATGGCAAACAGGCTTTGAAGAGCTCAGAAAAGCTTTTCTCCTACTGGTTATAGGCTGTCTTATAATCTTAGCTAGGTGCCCCATGATCTGTTTCTGACTACTGATGTGTAAGTCACAGACAGGAGTGGACAGGACGTGGATTGGTGTATAAATCCCATCTATCCCATTGGCTCCAGTGGCTTACTGTGGTTGTCCTGGAAAGGGCTGGCACCACTACCTCCTAGGTATGACCCCACAGCTATTCCTTGAACCTTTTTTGTTTGTAGTTGTTCTGCTCTGTTCCTTACAGCTTCTTATGGAAAAGCGGTTTGTAGATAGTCAGGGACTGGGTTTCACCAGAGGATAGCCATGAAATAGTAGTAGAACCGAGATGTACCTGGGCTTGAGTGCAATTTCAGCTGCAGAAGAGTTCAGTGGCAGGCCTGAGGCCAGTACCTGGCTGTGACTAGTTGTTTGGGATGCTCTTCGGAAGCTGATCTCTGGCCAAAGTCTAACTGGGTAGCTAGCCTGTCTCAGAGCACTCATACTAGTGAGCTACAGCACATCCTTTTCCCATTGCAGATTGAATGGCACGATGCATGTTCTTATGACTACCTGGAGATCCGAGATGGCCTCACTGAATACAGCCCGCTGATCGGTCGCTTCTGTGGTTACGAGAAGCCAGAAGATATCAAATCCAGTTCAAATAAAGTATGGATGAAGTTTGCATCTGATGCAACCATCAATAAAGCAGGCTTTGCAGCAAATTTCTTTAAAGGTATGTGATCTAGTACCTCTCAAGGTCAGAGTTGGGGATCAATCATCCTTAACCTACTGCCATCCCAAAGTGATCAGTTACCATTTTATCTACTTGTAATTAAGAGCTGTTAGACTTGTCTGTACAACTGCCAGTATCAAGTTTATATACAAATTGCTTTGAAAGCACAGAGGAATTTGATGCTGAGGCATGAACGCTACCTCCCTGATTAAGACAGAAAGCAAGTCTGCTATGTCAGTACCAGCATAGGCACTCGTGCCTTGTGTTGCATAGCTGGACAGAATGTGACCTCCATTTATCCATGCCAGGGGACATTGACATTTCCAAAGAGGGTACTAGTACTGTGCAAAGAGTGTTAAAGACAACTCTCTGCTTAAGTTCTATTCCAAAAAACCTCTGAGAGGGTAAATTTGAATGCAAATAAAATCCCAGGGAAAATTTCTGAGTGCTTTAGGAGACAAATGTGTTCCTAAACTGACATCCTATTCAGCAAGATGTGAATGAAGACTAAGATTTTTCTTAGGAGCTGGACCTAAGCCATCATCCTTTACCAGCATCCTTGTGACTTGATAGAGGCAAGAACTAAATATCTAACCACTTGGGAAAATACCTGTGGAGCTGCTGTGAGATTCTCTTAGGTTCAGTGACAGTTGTACAGAAATAATAGCTGCAGTGCCAATATTTAGATTGCATAAGTCTTTTATTTATTTTTACTTTAACTTTTGTCTTGCATTAAGGGTGTCACGGTCTGTTTGGATCTCTCAAACTCACAGGACAATATACTCTGTGAATTAAACTTTATTTCATGAGCTTATTAAGAAATACAGTAAACAAACATGACGAACAGGGGCTCAATCCCCTTTGCTCAGATGAGTCTATCATGTGAATTCTCTTATTCATTGTTCACATCATAAGGTTTCATAATTTATAACCCATAATTCTTAATCCATGCACTTGTGCGCCAAAAAAAAAAAAAAAAAAGAACTAGTTAAATAAAGTTTAATTCACAGAGTACGTTGTCCTGTAAATTTGAGAGATCCAAACCGACCATGACAAAAGGTAATGCAAGATCGCTGGCAAATACTTGTGATGTTTAGTTCCAGTCCCTGAACAACTCTCAGAGTACCTGGACTTCCTTGTTTACACTTCTCGGGTTCCGTAAAGACATAAAGACTACTTCTTCCTAAAGACATTTGGGCTTCTTTCAGGAGCTGATAGTGCAGGCTCGCTGTGGCAGAGATGTCTTCCATGGATTAGCACTACATGGGGACTTCTTGGCCTGCAGCAAGTCGTTCTCTAGAGTCTGAGGTTCTCCTGCAAGTTTGTAGGGGAAGAAAGTTACACACCTGAACTTGGGATGCTTTTCTTGTGATACAAATAGTCAGAAAGTTTTTTTTAATTTTTATTTTAAAAATGTATAAACATGCACTGCTAGTACAATTGCAGATACAGGTATTGACTGTGGAGTTTTTTCTAGCGGACTAGATCTTGCAGTGTCTGCTCAGACTTCATGTGTTTGAACCAGAAACTGTTTAACTCGTGGGTGGTTAGGGTGTTGCTAAGTCCGTGCCGGTAAGTCCAGCTGAGGAGCAAAGCGTATTTGCTTGGACCAAGCACCACTGTAGTCATAGCTACACAACTTCTAGCCAGCTTGCATTGTGGGCAGAGCTGATGTCAGTTTGCAAAGGCTGGGTAGACATACCTGCAGGCTACGTGTGATGTTTCAAGCCCCATATCCAGAGGGATTTTGACTACCAGCTACTCCGTGAATAAAGTAAATGAACAGTAAAAGTAGATGGCTCTGCAGGCACTTTTCAGACTGCCACCCATAGCTGAGCAATGGGTTGGTTTGCCTTAACGAACGTGAAAGGAATAGAACTTCAATGTCTCACAGCACTGAAAGAAAATAACTTGGCTGAAAAAAACCCCAGAGTTAAGGGTGGTAACTTCTAACTTTTCAGAGAAAATAAACCTGCAATCAGCTCAGAGAGAGTAAGACAGCTCAGAGAGGGTAAGCCATTGGTCACATCCAACAGACAATGTTGGGAAGTTATGAAGAGCAATTACCTCATGTCCATCCCAGCATGTACATCTCAAGGGAAGGCTTTAGGATTATTCTTTATTACTTATCTTCCTTTTGGTTACAGATTGTATCACTGAAACCTATTTTATATATGGTTGAAGTGTTAGTAAGGAAGTGCTTGTCTTGCACTCACATTGTTGTGGCTTTCCTCTTCATGGCAAACATTAGAGGAAAGAATACTTTGCAAAATATACCTGCCCATAGCCAGGACATGTCCTCCCCATGGTAAAGACTAATCACAGGGGTTTTTGATAATCATAGGAGTTGCAGCCTCTCTTTTCTCTCAAGTCTAGTGATTTAACAGCCAGATTAGAAGCTACTAAACCTTAATATATAATTAATTATATATTAAATGTCTTTAAAGAGGATTTCAAGAGCAGACATCTTCTGACCAAGATGACATCTGACCCAAGCATGGAGCAGCAAAGAAATACTCTACTTTCTTCATAGTGAATCCACAAAGAGAAACCAGAAAATAAAATCTGTTTGGACTGGAACTGTTGCAGTGGGAGGTTCCTGACTGTGGGAAGGCTTTGCAGGAAGATAGTGTTATCAATAGGAAAGAATAGAATATTTTCATTGGAAGGGACCTACAATGATCATCTAGTCAAGACTGTTACTATTTGATCTACGTAGCAGTAACTGTTACTGGAACATTATATTGGGTGTAGGGGTTGAGGTGTTGGCAGTGGGAAGCTGCAGGGGGTGCCCTGTGCCAGACAGATGGTTCAAGCTGGCTCTGTCATGGACCCACCACAGGATGCAGCCCATCGGTTGAGCTGGTGGTGCCTCTGTGAAAAGAGGTTTAAGAAAGGTCAGAAATGACAGGGAGAGAGAGAGGAGGAGGGAACAAAAAGTGCAAAACAGCAGAGGTAACACCAAGGTCAGAAGAGAAGGTGGAGGTGCTTCGTGGCAGAGCAGATATTCCCTGCAGCCTGTGGAGGACTGGTGCTAGAGCAAGGGGAAAGTATGAGAAGGAAGAAACAGCAGAGTTATGTACTGACTGTAGGTCCTGCCTGTCCCCTCCTGCCTTTGCATGCTTGTGGCTTCGCTGAAGGGACTGAGTGTAAGCTACAGTGATACAAGGCAGGGGGAGAGGAGTCTGGAGTGAAGCTGAGCCTGTGAAAGGGGGGCAGAAAGGTGTTTTCCCTAAGTGTTTTGACATTTATTTCTTTTTTTTTTCCAGTTTTTGTTTACCAGTCCCTGAATCAGTACTCAAATATTTATATTAATTGGCATTAAATTAAGTAAAATTCCCCCAAGTTGAGTCTGTTTCACTCATGACAGTAATTGGTGTGTAATTTCCCTGTCTTAACCCAGGAGCTTTCCTGGTCCTTTTTATTTTCTCCATTCCACTGGGGTAGGGGGCCAGGGAGTGAATAAGCAGCTGAGTGGGAGTTTAGCTGCTAGCTGAGGCCAACACACCACAACCATGTTAAGAAAACCATGTATTAAGGGATGCACATGGAATCAGGGGTCAGGGTGAGAAGCCAGTACATTTTGCTGTCTTTATATTAAAATGTTGGTTCAGGTTGTTCAGATGTGATTGGAAGAACCTGACTTCAAAGTCTAGGGCAGCAAGACTTCATGTGTCTATGAAAAGGAAGAACTATTGCACTCTGTTCAGTGGGGTATGGCCTCCCACAGCTCTGTTACTGTGGGCACAATAGTGGGCTGGTTCCTGGTAGCTCAAGTCACTCAAGAGCATGAGGAACATGAAAAAAAGCGAAAACAAAGCATGCAAGGGCAAATGAGAACAAAAGGCAGTGAAGTCTTTACGGGAGACTATGTTTTCCAGAAAAAGCACTCTTGACTAGTGACAGTAATTGTAGTTCTTCATGGCTTTGGTGGTAGGAGTGCTTTAGCACTTGTCAGGTTTGCTGCAGTGCCTGCTCTGTGGGCTCAACTTGTCAGATAGTGGTCTGGTCCTTCTGTCCAGAAGTGTTGCATGAGGAATATGATGGGGTTTGGGTGGTTGGGAAAGCGCGACTTGTTCTGGTTTTCTCCTGACAGAGATGGATGAATGTTCTCTGCCAGACAATGGTGGGTGTGAGCAGCACTGTGAGAACACACTGGGCAGTTACAAATGCACCTGTGAGCCTGGCTATGAGTTGACAGCTGATAAAAAGAGCTGTGAAGGTAAGTAACCTACAGATTGAGGCATCTGTCTATGGGATGGCTACTACAGCTAATAATGAAATTGAACAATCTTGGAGATTGTTTTCCTTGCTCCTGCATCCTTGTTGTTTCTGATTAACTTCCACCACCTGAAAAACTTCTTTTTGTCAACATCTTCTATTGAAAAACAGGTTTTAGTTGAAAAACTGAAAACACTGATTCTCTGCTGCTAAATATCTCTAAAATCAGTTGTTCTTCATGGCTAGATATCCCTGTTCAGACCAAATCTCCCACAGTGCAGAAAAGGGAGGGTGGGCATTACAATCTAACCATTGAGTGGCCCCAAAGTATTTCAATCTAAGGATGAATTTTTTTTTTAAAAGAAACTTTTTTTGTTGAATAAACTATCAATGTTCTGCCTGCATGCAAAACAGACTGTCCAAACTGGAGGAGTAAATTCCCTTCTGTTATGGGGAAAAAACCCCATCATGTCTTCAATAGAAACTGTTTCTGTCAGTGTTCTATTTATACAGTTAATCTGTTGCAACAAGTGTTTGCTCCCACCAACAATACAGCTGTTGGTGTGGTGAGAATCCACCCATTGTTCTTGTTTCATAGCTCTACCTTTCGGCTGAGACTTGTAGGAAGCTCCACATGCTGTGAGCAGTGCTGTCAAAGTCACCCGGTTTGCCCTGACTTTTACATTTGTCAAACTGTTTGGGGAAGGGTGCTATCAACTTGGTGAGGGCAGTTAGGTGCATGAAAAAGGCTTTTGGAAAATTTACTGTGTTTTTTTTAAAATAACTTCTTGCAATTTTGAGTAAGCCAGTTGAACTTCACTCTTAACCTTCTATTTTAAGCTTCATTTGTGGGCAATACAGGAAGGATAGTCTTTGAAACTGTAGTGATGCACATCAGAATAAATTGCCTTTGTTTCTCCAGACACACCTGCTACACTTCTTGTATTGAAGCTGCTCCCTTGGGTTAGTTCTCTTAATGCAAAATGATGCTGGAAACAAGAAACAGGAGGGTTTTTGTCCCTGTGGGTTTTGAAGATCTGGCCATATGTCATTACTCCCAAGAAACAGCAAGAAAAAATTGCTTTGTTGCAAATAGAATTTTGCAGCAAAAGAGCAAACTGAGGTTGATTCCTTTGAGGTAAAAGCCATGCTGTCCCACAAGAGGATGAAGCTGAGATGTCTGAATTTTTAAAGGAAATGGGATAATAAAGCTAAATCTTTGGCTTTGTCTTCAGTTTTACCTAGAGAAGATGCAGTTCACATGTAATAAGCCACTGAAGAGTTGGCAGGGATGTCTTCTCTAGGATTCCATTGTCTATGAATTATTCCATTACTGATAAATTTGAAATAGTAAGGTTTGTAGGACTGAGTGTGGGTGAATTTACCAAGCTGGCCTTTATTGTGCATGTTTTGTGCATGTCAAGTCAACTGATCCACAGTAAGCACAAGGCTAGAGAGTAAAAGGCTAGGTCTTACATGGTTTAAGTGGCTCTCAGGGCCACAGCCTGGCTGTGTTTGTTTTACTGGTGATTTATAGCAGGTGAGGTTTGTCGTCTTCACAGTTCCCAGCATTTTAAACCTGGTTTGGAGGTTGGGGTTTGAAATGTGTCACCAACAGGGATCTGATACATTTCCTAGCTAACAGTGTGGCCCAATCTGTGTCTGAACAGAATCAAATAAACTTGTGTTCATTTATTGCCTCTCCAGCTGCCTGTGGGGGTTTCATCACCAAGCTCAATGGGACCATTACTAGCCCTGGATGGCCCAAGGAATATCCTACTAACAAAAACTGCATCTGGCAGGTGGTAGCTCCAGCCCAGTACCGGATCTCTCTGCAGTTCGAAGTGTTTGAGCTGGAAGGCAATGATGTACGTAACCAGTCCCTGCATCTCAGAGGTGTGACTATTAACTCGGAATTGGATAAATCCTTGGGATACAAGAAAGAGGAAAGACTGTCTTACTGGTAGAGCTTCTAGTTTTTTCCCCACCCTTGATATAATAAGCCAATAACAGTGATTGTTTTCCTTGAAGTCTAGATCTGCTTTCTCTATAGAGTGGAAGGATTAAAGCTGTTCTGTTATAAATGGCCTTCTTTTCTCTACCAGTTTTGCGTAATTATAGATGTTTTCCATCCCTAACAGGTGTCCCATCCCCCCTTCCCCAGAGCTGCATTTGCAGGAAAATAATTGGAAATTAACAGTGAAGTAGAATTCTTCAAGGATAAACAAAATAACTAGTAAAAGAGTCTGTTCTCTGCCCTGCCAAGGGCAGGGTGGAATATGCACAAAGCACTCAGGTCTCACTTTCCCCCCTGTATATGGGAGCAGTGGCTCTTCCTTAATTCAACAGGTTGCTGAAGTTTGTTCACCGCTGTCAGGTTCTTGGATAAGGTGGAAGTAATTATTTTAACTAAATTAAATTGAACCTTTGCTAGTCTGATAAACATACCCATGCTTTAAGACCAGGGCAGCAAGGGAAGTGGGTGAGCACACTGACAGAGCAGAATTTGGGGAAGTCAGGAGTGTGTTTGAGTATAAGGCTATTTCTGTTCCCTTTCAGTCAAGCCTCTGTCACCTTCCTCTGAAATGCCTTGTTCTAAGTGCACAGAGCTGAGAAATCTCTTTCTCTCTTGGCAGGTCTGTAAATATGACTATGTTGAGGTTCGTAGTGGGTTGGCTTCTGACTCCAAGCTGCATGGCAAATTCTGTGGCTCAGAGAAGCCCGAAGTAATCACATCGTATGGCAACAACATGAGACTGGAGTTCAAATCAGACAACACGGTCTCCAAGAAAGGCTTTAAAGTTCACTACTTTTCTGGTACGTGACTGTGTTTTTTCACTTGCTTAGCTATCTCCTTTGCCCGAACCTCTTGCTTTTGGTGAATTTTCTTCAGCTGCCTGTCAAATCAGGGAGAGCCTGACATGGTTAGTTACATCTAAAATGCATAGTTGCTCTGTGCAGTGTCGTCGCCTTTCATTTTCGTTCCTCAGTGCAGCATATGGTCCAGTTTCATAGTGTGGTGTCAGCAAGATGCATGGGTTTCATCAATGCTTCCAGTCCTTCCCAGCAGGAAGCAATGGGGAACCCGATCCTAGAAGTTATTTCTGTCTGTGGAGTAATTAAAGAGAAGCTTTTTACTCTGAAACTAGAAGAGTTAGAAAATTTCCAGAAGCCTTCTATAGCAAGCACTCCTTCCCATCAAAGGAGTGCATGCTAGTGGAAGTTTCTGATCTTCTAAATCCTTTGTAGCTATTGGTGTCAGTGATGTCACTTGCTGGCAGGCAGTTCTGGAGGTTAACTGTACATTGTATGGAAGTGGAAAATCAATTTCATGCTGTGTTTCCAGTAGAGACCAAGGAGTATTAATGTTTTTGAGGAGGATGATCAGGCAAAATGGCCTTGAATTAAGATAGAGTTGCAGAGTAGAATCAGGGCTAGGGGTCTGGCTTATTAAATCTAACAAGAGGAAGGATGAGGTGGGGTTTCAGCTAAAAATACATTTGGGAGTGAGGACACAAATGAGGTTAATGAGGTCCAGGGAGGGCACTGGCCCAAGAAAAATTTGAGATAAACTGCTTATAGATTAAATTGGACTGGAAACCACAAGCCGATCTTGTGCTCAAAACAGTGAGATTCAAGAATGCATAGTCCTGAACACACGGGAGTGAACATCCACTGGTGCGTGTTTCAGCTTCAGCGAACAGCGTGGGCCTTAGATCCTCTTCTCCATCTGGCTGCTTGTGCTCTTGGACGGAGCTATTTAAAGATGGGGGCTCATCAGAGCACGTAGGAACTTGAAAATATAAAGACTGGCCCATAGATTTTTTGACTAGGCTAGTGAATTTGTGTGATACTTCTCCTGGATTCTGTTCTAAAAGAATGCGACGTTGTAATAAGTTTCTTTTAGATAGGAGTCTTTAACCATTGAAAACCTAATTATATAATAAACCATATTTGTGATGCATTTTGTGACGAGAAAGACTACTGAACAAAATTGTATCTGGGCTAAAAAGCTGACTGGACTAATCCAACAGAAAGTTGAAGGTTTGCACTGGTATCTGCCAGTCTGGATATGGGACTCCCAGCTGGCAACTGTGGTAGCCTGTTTCTTACTGTCAACTCAATGCTTGTTGGTTTGATCCTGCCCAGACAAGGATGAATGCTCCGAAGATAATGGTGGTTGCCAGCATGAATGTATCAACACCTTTGGGAGCTATGTATGCCAGTGCAGAAATGGCTTCATGCTGCATGAAAACAGCCATGATTGTAAAGAAGGTAAGGTCCCCACTCCCCACCCTGAGGAAAGACAAGGTGCTTCAAACACAATTCAAGCCAGGGTGGTTCCTGCCCGGTGTTGGAAGAATATTTGTACAGCATAGCAGGCTGGGACACTAAAAAAGCCCCAGCCAGCTGAAAAACTACCTAGAAGAAGTAAGAGGGCTTGTTTTCGGCTGGATGCATTCTCTAGTCTGGCCCTCTATATGGCTGTGGGGGATAGACAGGGTGGGGGCAAGAAATTGGGCTAGCAAAAGGAGCAGTCGTGGGACATCACCATTAGACTAGTCCCTGGTCCTTCATTTAATTATTGAGTTTGAGTCGGAAGAGAAAGAGTGATCTGATATAACCACTCACTGCTGCCAAAATTACCTTTCTACCTGCACCCCTACCCCTGCTGTGTGCAGCTGTGGCCTTCCTGTGTACATCTCTGGTCATTGTCTGGTATCTCTGTGAGCTCAATCAGCTTTCCAAGTCAGCAGAACAACTCAAGGCTGAGATAGCACCAGAGTTGACACCATGGAGGGGCTGGACACCGTGTCACTGGGAACAGGGCAGTTGAGATGGAGAAGCAAGAGAATATGTTTGGGAGTGAGGAGATGGATGAGGTTAATGAGGCCCAGGGGAATGAGATGGTCCATTTCACCAGCTGCCAAGTTAGCTCAAAAAAGTATTTTACCAGCAGAACTATGAAGTAATACTAAAAGGTCTTGTTCAGTGACTGAAGCTTTCCTTGTTTCTGCCCTGTTGAAGGTCTCAGTGGGCAGAGAAGAGCATGTAGGACGTTATGTTTATTCCCATGTGAGACTTGCCTCAATGCCTCCATCTTGTGATCTCTTTCTCTCAAGCTGGTTGTGAGCACAAGCTGAGTGCTGCAGAGGGAACAATGAGCAGTCCAAACTGGCCTGACAAGTA